TTGAAAAGAGGGGCAGTTGACTCCTGCTAGGGGCAGCTCCATCTAAAATCCATGGAATACCTCATTTTGAGCTGAGGGGACGCCGTGTTCTCTGAAAACGTGTGAACCAGATAGTGGATGTACCCTATCACATGCACTGTCAGCGTCTTGCCACTGTGCTCCATGTCTGAAATGTTTGAGAATAAAATACTGAGGAAAACCTGTGGGTCTAAAGTAGAGAGAAATCCCCTGAGGCTGGTTGAAGAAGGGAAATTTTTGCACTGGGCAAAGGATTAACACTAATAACTTTTCCCTTGATACTATGTTTCAAGCGCAGAGAGAGCAATTAAACAAGGTGTAACAATGTTCCACGCTTCCAGCTGAGCATTGTCAAGTCCTGGGGTTTGGTTATAGTTGTTTCCAGTTTTGTTTGCTTTTAGTAAGTAAAATATTATAAATACCACAGAGTTGTTCCCAGTGTTATGAAGTGGAAACCCCCTTACTTCCCTTTCTTCCAGTCCTATTCTTGCTCTTTCTCTTAAAGAAACCACAGCCCTGAGTTTATCCGCGATCACCTGCACACAATCATCATGTAATTTGTTCATGATTATTTTTATTTTTTTGCAGTAGTGGTGATTGAACCCAGAGCCTTGGCATGGAGCTGCATCCTCTGCCCTGGCTTAATTTTTTGTCATTCTGGAAAGCTCTTGCTAGGTTGCCCGGGCTGGTGTGCGCTCACGGCTCTGTGTCCCCGTACTGTTTTCCACACGCATGTGGTGCATGTTTAGGAGCCCTCTGTGTGCTGCCACAGGTCTCGGCCTCACGAGGAGGACATTGGAAGAGATCTTGATATCTTGTGGCTCCAGTCTCAGGTTTGCCACTGGCTGGCGCCTTGCCCTGAGCTGGCCCCTCATCCCTGATGCCGTCTGTCGGGACGCAGGCAACACCGAGAAGGAAGCAGGAAGTAGACGAGACAGTTTTCCACCTTCACCTTCTCAGGCCTTATGTAGACCTCAGACTCATCCTTGAAGACGGGGCTACAGCGTGGCCTCCAAGCCAGGATGTCCCCAGGTGCACTGGACGATGTGCGCCGCTTGGCCCTGGGGTCCTGGAGCCGCACAAGCTGGAGAGGGTGCTGGGGCCAGGCTCGGAGCAAGCACAGCAGCGCAGTGTGAGCGGCTCGGCCAGAGCCTCGGCTGCGCTGCCCTTCTCCCCACGGCCTTAGCTCAGCTGCCTGCAAGCACTGACTGCACCTGCCGGCTCTCCCGGGCAGTCGAGCCACTTTCTCCCTTCACAGGCGAGAAGCTCCTGCAAGGCTCTTGCTGTTCCCCACCCAGCCCCACGTCTGCCGCTCTCAGCCAGAGTGCACACGCGTGTGAGCTGCAGTCTTCAGGCTGCCTCGGCGAGGGAGGTGGGTGCAGAGGGCACCATCCGGAGCGGCGGCAGCCTGGTGTCCCTGAGAAGGGCCGCCCGAGGCCTGGCAGGGGATGGCAGGCGGGGCCGCAGGCTTTAGGGAATGGCTGTTCCTTTCCACACGCGTCAGAGCGCGACTTTTCCAAAATACACAGCTTCTAAGTTAAACAGGAGAGCTCGTGCTCTCACTTGGACTCTGCTAAAATGGGCCTTGTGCACACGTACACACACGCACGCACACACACCTGCTTTGCTGGAGAGCAGAGGGATGGACAGTGTACCAAGGTCACCATTGCTGGACCTTCCGTGTTTAAAAGTGCCAAACCTGTTTAAATGCCACTCCCTGCAGCAGGCACACACCAGGGTCTCAAAAGTTTGATAAAAGCGAAAATTCACAGAGCACCTGGGCAGAGAGAAGGTTCCTTTCAACTCACTGCCACACTCGTAAAAATAGAAAGGCCTCTTCCTCAGCTCAGTAGCTTAAAAAGAACCTTGATGTTCTTACGTGGTCACCTAAAAGGAATGCCTTCCTCCTCCGACGGAAGGATATTCCTAAGAGCATGCTACGCCTGTGACAGGAATTACCGACACCTCTGGAATTCTTTCTCAAGTGACTCAGGCCTCTTTCGGCCGATACCCAGGACTTAGTCAGGGGCTGCGTGACGCCAGCTCCCAACTGTTTAGTGCGCGGCGCAGCAGCAGAGGGAGAAATGGAGGATGTGCTTTTGTGCATTATTCTTATTGTGATGAATGATGCTTGTTTTCCTCCCCACTTTAATTAGAATGTTTCTACATTTGCCAAAGAAAATGTTGGAATGGAGACAAAACCCTGAAATTATAGGAACAGGGCTTGATGTAATAGCTTATTTGTGAAGGAAACACAGCTTGTTGGGATTTTATGAGAGCAGGAAGTGCAGGATTCAGCACACAGCACACTCAGGTGCTGGCTGAATCATCTGTTGTTGGGAATCAGTGCGGGTAGTTTTCCCCGGGTTTACTTTTTATCTTCGTTTTGTTTTTTCGAAAGTGGTGGGGGTCAGGTGGGGATAGGAAATTACACAGATCCAATCAGAGGTTGTGTACAGTTTTAAAAATCAGCGACCTAGAATAAACAATAAAGCAAGCAGGAAATTCCTGTAACATTATGTGTGCCCTTTTATAATTACTGGGTATAAAATGAAGAAAACTAAGTGCAACAATAATTTGCCTTGATGCATTGCTGTTTAAAAAGTGACCATGAGTCGGGGCATTGTACCAGGGAGCAATAAAGCTGAAGAGTGCTGTGGCTTCACTTAGGCTCCACTGGCTGTTAAGTGGTCGGTAAAGTAAACCTGAAGCCCAGCAACAATTTACCAGTTTGATTCACAGTGTTAGCAAGTTGGAGAATTGTCTGGAGCTGAGTTGGTTTCGACACAGAAATCTTTAGGTTGGAATTTCCTGTCCTTTTCTGAACAATTAGGTCAGGGTGCTGCTTTGACGTATGCCAGGCTGGGTGCTGGGTGCTGGCACGCAGGCGGCTGCTGCTCGTGGGACTCGGCGGGAGCTCGCAGGCCCAGGCACAGTGTGTGGGGAGTCAGCTCTGGGAGGCTTCCCCGGCTGACTGTGGGTGCCGGCCTGCCGGCCCTCTGCTCATCCCATGGAGCAATGCCTGCTCCTCCACGTACATCTCCCGCTGCCCACCCCTAGCGTTGGGGGTGCCGCCCCCAGCCTCAGCCTGGAGGCCAGTGGAGGCCAGCAGGGCCTCACTTCTCATCCCGGATTCGTCAGAGGCTGCAGGTGTGACTAGGCAAACCATGGCTCTGTGTGGAAAAAATCTCTTTTAGTAAGGTTTTTGGTTCACTAAGTAGCACTCACCAAGAGTATTACCAGGAAACGACAGGCTTTTGAGCAGTTTGACTGTTGTTAGGGTAGGTGGGTAAGCCAGGCTTCAGAGGGGCCTCGTGGGTGGAGGTCTGCTCACGCAGACACCCACGGCTCTCCACATGGCACAGGGTCTGCCAAGGTCCGGCTCCGTGCGACATTGCCCAAAGCACTGGGCAGACTCGTCAGCTGCAGAGGGGTCCGCGGGCAGCCTGGGGCTCCAGCTGTGCCCGTGCAGACTGATGGCAGGGCAGGACACGGAGGGAGGGCACGGAAGTGGCGGGGTGGGAGGCCCGGTCACAGGGGCCTCAGAGACCCACAAGGGCTGAGGCCTGCTCTGCTGGTGAGGAGCAGGAGGCCCTGCCGTCCGCGCCTGGTGAGGGTGTCCATGCAGCGGTGGTGGCGGCGGAGGTCCCGGCAGTGTCCAGCACCACGAGTGTCCACGTGGCCCTTGAGCTGCAGGTGCCTGGGAGACGGGAGGAAGGCCACTGCGACCCTCGGGAGCCCTCCCCGTGAGTGGCGCCCCGTGGGCCCGCTCCCGCCTGCAGCTCGCTTCCCCTCCCCGGTGCGGTACGGTGCGCCCGGTCAGGCTTTGTTGTTGGCCAGTTTGGTTGTCGCTTCCTTGTTGTTGACCGAGGTATTTGTAGACAGATCTTATCTCCTCTCTGAGTCACTCTTGGCCGCTGCACAGTTTACTCCTTGGAGCTCTGCTCTGGGGTCTGACCTCCTGCCACTCTCTGGAACGGACTTGTTTTGTGTTTTCAGATGTTATTCCTTTTGGACTATTTTAAGAGATGGCAATAAACTAAATAAGGCCTGGGCTAAATAGGAATGGTCTTGGAATAGCGTAAGATTAAAATGTCCTTGTGCGTGTACACATGTGTAATGTCTGTGTTGGGGGCCTGTGTGCTTTGTGCCTGCGTGTGCACAGCCAGTGCTTGCTCAGTTTTCCTGGGAATGATCTGTACTAAATGTCTGAAAGAATGAGCCATCACAAAGTGGCGACTGGTCCGCCTGGCTCCCCCAGGAGCCACCCTTCTGGGAGTCTCGGGCCTCAGAATGCGCTCATTTCTCCATCCCATTAATGGGTGGAGTTCTCTGCCCTGTCAGACTGAGCACAGCGGAGCGGCTTTCCAGGCCACAGCGCTCCCTCCTTGTCCCCGCCATGAGCTCTGGTCCCAGCCAGTGCGCCCCCTGCCAGCCCTGAAGGAGAGGCAGGCGCTCGATGGGTCAGCAGGACCCCGGAGGCCTTTGAGTCCTGAGCAGCCCACTGCTGGGCTGAAGCAGAACAGAGCGTTCGAACGGCAGCATCTGATTCTCCAGCAAACCCTGGCAACGCAGACCATTTCTTAGGATTATCCAGGAAAGTGCAACAGAACTAGCAGGAGCAAATCGAGTTGTGACTATAAAGGAATAAACACAAAGATGGAGAGAAGCAGGATCACAAATATTTAAACGGAAAGAAAAATAAGTCTGCACTGCAGCCCCTCACTTTCTAGGTGAAGAACTAAGGACCCGGGAAGAGAAGGAGTTGCGTCATGGGGCGAGGAGTCAGCCCCTCCTTGTCACCCTGAGGTCTCCTGGTCCAGAGGCCAGAGGGCCAGGTCCGGGATGTTGCTCGTGCCTGGAACCTTGTGTTCCTTTTCCCAAATGCTGATGGCCAGATGGGACCTTTGTTGCCAAGAGCTTGATGGTGGCTCATTCTCCTCTCCTTCTCTGTCCCCTGCTGCTCAGGGACCCAAAGTCTCCCAGCCACTTCTGCACCCCAGGCGGGTCCTCCCAGGCTGCATTTCTGACCAGAGACTCACCAGTCTGTAAGCCGTGGAAGGAGGAGCGACACGAGGAGAAATCAGGCTGACCACGGCCCGCACCTCTGGCAGGAAGTCCAGGGTTGATTTCACTCTTCAGCTTTGAGCGTTTCCAAAATTATTTTCATAAACTTTAGAAAGCTAAGTTGCTTTTAATGAATCCAGATTGGTAGGTTTCATTTTAATAATGAAATTTGTAAGCAAAAACAAATTGCAAGTCCAAAAGGGTTACAAGACTCTAGGGAGTACTTTAAAGAATATGCATGATTGTAAACATAAAGACAAACTGCCTGAAAGCTTGAAGTGATAACTTGTTTCCATTTATTTGTACATAGAATAAAATATCTAAAACATCTAGCGAATTTCAAAAGGAAGGGAATAGAAACTTATGGGAAATCAAATATTCATCCCAATTCAAACTTAAAAATTCACAAGTCTCTGAGGCATTTTATAAACCAGAAACCAAACTATAACTTTGAATAAAAGCTTCATTTTTAGAAAATCTGGTCTAGGGCTGGGGGTGTAGCTCAGTGAGTACTTGCCTAGCATGCTCCAGGGCCAGGGTTCCATCCTCAGCACCAAAAACTAAATGAATATAAATAAATAGCCTGCCCTATAAGTGGTGCTGGTCATTTTGTGTCACGGTGAGATGCCTGCCCTAGAGGAGCTTCCCTCGGTCCTGCAGCCTGAAGCAGTGATTGTCGAGGACAGGAGGAAGCACCTCTCTTCCCGCCTCGCCCTCCACAGGGAGCAGCACTGCCTGGCTACAGGAGAGAGGAGGGCACATTCCAGAAAGTGTGGGGGCCAAACAGAAAACCAGCGGGCAAACATAGGAAGCCAAGCCAAGAGGAGGCAGGGTTCAGAGTGGTCAGACCATCCATTTAGAGTCCTGGTCTTGTTCAGCCCCCTGAGTTGAGGAGTGGCCACATCTAGGGGAATGCTCCCCCAGAGAAGGACTCCAGCATCTCCAGAAGAACTGGAAGGAAAGCGAGCCAGGAAAGAAAGGCAGAACCTGACCTCCATGCCAAGGGGTGGAAGCAACTCAGGGCCCGCCTACACCCATGACTGGGGCTGAGCAATCAGTGTGACACAAGAGCTATAGAAGTCACTTTACCACTGCTGAGACAAATACCCAGCACTGTAACTTAAACTACAAGAAGTGTAATTTGGCTTGTGGTTCAGGGGATTCAGTCCATGGCCCAAGAGAGAAGCATCATAGTGGAAGGGCACGGCAAAGGCAAGCTGCTCACCTCATGGCAGCCAGGAAACAGGTGCCAGAGATGGAGGCACAGCCTGGGAACCCGCCTCTTCCAGCCGGGTCCTCCCCGACCACAGGACATTCAGCCGTGAGCTCGTCCATGGACTAAGCTGCCAGTGAGTACTGTGCCTCACCATCCAGTCACCTTCTGAAGCCCTACCTCTGAACACGAGGCTGGTTGGGGACATTTTACATCTAAACCCTAACAGGATCTCACCTGCCACGTCTCACCTGCTGGTGGCCGCGGGGCTGTGCCAGGTGTTAGCAGTACCTGCAGAGGAGCAGGCGAGGAGAAGCAGGTGCAGCCCAAGGTAACCCAGAAAGAACGCTACCGTGGGAAGGGTGGAACTGAGTTCATGAGAAAGGAAACTCATCTCTTGTGTGAGGGCCGAGAATGCTTCAGATGAACTGTTTTGTTTTGGTGCCAGGGAGCTAACTCAGGACCTTGTGGATGGTTTGTTCTCCCCTTTCAACCTTTTAAAGACAGGGACCCTGTTTTATTCTATGTGGGTCGGTGGGCCACAGCAGTAATGCCCACTTGACAAAGTCCTTAGTTACAGAAGCGCATGACTGTTCAAACTCTTAAAGGCCTACGCACGGACGGCCCCGCCTTCTGAGCTGTTCTGACTCTTAGCTCCACCCCTCTTTCTTACTGGAGCCACTTAGGAAGAATTTCTAACCCTGCCCCTCTGACCACAGCTCCTTCAATTCTCAGCGTTCCTGGCATCGGGGCCCAGGTTCCTGATCCTCTTTGATCCTCCTCTATGGGGGTGGTTGTCCTCTCCCCCGAGGACGCAGCTTGGCAGGGGAGGGAGGAAGGGCACACCCACCCAGCTAGCCAGGTCAGGCGAATGCACCCTGGCCATCGTAGTGTGGAGCCAGGTCGCCCCTCACAGCCCCTGGTGTCAGTTGAAACTTTGGGGTGCCCGGAGGAGCAGTCAAGTTTGATGGCGTGGCTGTCCCTTCTCAGCCTGAGCGTCCCAGGACCCTCACTGGGGGCCTCGGCCACCTGCTCCCCCAGTGTCCTGACAAAGCTGGTTCCTGGAGAGGCCCCAGCATCCCGCTGCATGGGAACGGGTCCCTAGGCCTGAGGGGCGGTTGGGTGCAGAGCTTCCCGGACTTGTGCTTAGAACTCCCAAGTCTCCATGATGCTGTGGACCGGCTCTAGTCATTTTATGTAAGCAGTGCAGATTTCTTGCCATCCACCAGTTAATTTTTAAAGGATCAGATAAAAGATTTGATAAAACTAAGGAGTGATTTCCATACGTACTTCCCATTTATACTTTACACACTTTATACTTTCTATACTTCCACATGTAGCTTCCATATATACTTTATACATACTTTTTTCTGAAAAAAGAGAGTTAAAGGCAATCAGGCAGCCCGGGGTCACGTGACATGGAAAAGTCCTAGGTGCTGTGGCCAGCGTGGACCAGGCCGGGCCGCCAGCCTCAGGCCAGTACAGGAAGAGCCCCGGCTCGAGCCTTGGCGTGCCTCTCGAAGTTGTTGAAAACTAGGAGGCATGAAATCCAGATTTATGGCTTTAAAAGACAGTTATCTGTGGATTCCCAACCATCACTTACGTTGCCTTTGAAACCCACGTTTGGCACACAGGGAGCCCTGCCGTGGGTCGCCTGCACAGCACTCGGAGAAGGGAAGAAAGCGGGCCTCTGCCGGTGACCCGCTTCCGGAGCCTGGAGCCGTCGCCCTCCCCCGCAGCAGCCCACAGGCCGGCTCAGGCCCCTTCTCAGGGACCACCCGCTCCTCCTAACCCTCCGCCCTCGCCTCTCCCCGCTTTTGTTCTCTATAAGTTCTTTGGAACGTCCTCCATTTTTCCCCAAAACACTGTAGTACGAGAACCAAACCGTGCCCCGTGCTTCACAGCTCAGGCTTTGCCCGAGGTCTCTTCTGCCAACACACAAGGATCCTGTGCTCCGGCCGGCCTGCCGTCTCCCGCTGTGGCTGCCGATCCCAGCGCCCTCCCCTGAACAGATGCAGACGGGGCAGACAGTCCCGCCACCCTGAGGTGCAGGCTGAGGGAAGCCGTGCGGAGGGGCTGGGCCCCGTCCAGAGCCCGGGCTCTGCTCCTCTCTGTCGGCTTCTCCACCATTTACACCTGTGTCCTCTGGCGCCTCGGAGTTCCCGCAGACTTCCTTGGGAGCGCACTTTCACTCAGTGGCCCAGTCAGCCCTCGCCGCCTCTAGCAGCTGGGCCCAGGCCCTCACAGGCTGCCTTGCTCTGCTTTCCGGGCGCTTCCCTGAGTTCAGCAGCGCAGGGCGAGTGGCAGCACGCAGAGCCAATGCGGTGTGGGCAAACCCCACGGCAGCTCTGGCACTGCCTGCGGCTGTCGGCCTCGCCTGGCTGGGGAGTGTGGGAGAGCCAGGGTGCTGTGTGCAGCTTCTGCAAATTCAAATCCCAGATTAAGGAGGGGCTCAGACCTGTTTGACAGAGAATGACTTTTTGTTCTGGTTACAAATCCAAAGACCTGCATGTCCCTAGAGAGCCACTCTAAGGGACTGACTGATGTCAGACTCTGGTCTCAGGTCCAGCGCCCGTGTGTCAGGCAGTGCGCTGCGTGTGGCGCCGCATGACAGAGAGACGGCTTGGCCCACACACAGCCCGTGCTCTGGTCACATTTCCCTAGGCCTCAGCTTCGCGGCTGTAGCATGTGGATAATGCTGGTCTCTGCCCCTCAGGGTTTTTGTAGCAATTGGCTGTTTCATGCAAAGTGCCTCAGAAGGTTTAGCAAAGAACAAGAAAGTAGTGTTAGCTGCTTTCCTGAACTCAAGGATTGAGACTGCCAGCTATCGAGTTACACGAGGCAGAATCCTAGGAGCCAAACTCACTGGCACCTTCAGGGTAGAGATGGGCACCGGGAGGGAAAATGAGAAGCGTGCTAATGGGACCTCTGGCCTTTATCTGGTGCCTTCCTAGGAGCAGGCCCTGGGCTCGTCCGGCTTCCACTTCCTTCCGGCCTTTCTGCTGGGCAGATGTGTGGTGATTTCCACCTGCAGAAGCTGAGCATCGAGGCAGCTGAGGCCACGGACACAGAGAGAGTAACAGAGCTGGATCTCAAGCCTGGATACCAGGCCTGTCCTTATCCCGCCCTGTCATCCAGCCTGGAGGGACTTCCTCCTCTAGGGACAGGGGAGGTGACATGGGCATTGTTGCAGAATTTGGCAAATGGGGCCGTCTTGTGGTTGTTTCTGAGACTTCTCGAGGTGACTAAGACGATGAGAGAACCCTGAAACGGACTACACTGAGATGGTTGGTACCCTCTTGACCTCCCCAGGGCAGACCTGTGTCCACTCTTCCGGGACTGAGGGCTGCACCATGGGCCGGGCCGCAGGGGGCTCGGGTCTGCCCTGCACTGCAGCCCTGGTCCTCAGCCCAGCACAAGGCCCTCCTCTGTTTGCCCTCTCCAGGGAGCAGGCGATGATGATGGAGACGCAGAGCAGGCAACAGCTGGCCTGAGAGCTGAGCTGATGTGAGAGAGAGAGAGAGAGAGAGAGAGAGAGAGAGAGAGAGAGAGTAACAGGAGAGAAGCATACAAGGAGAAGTTTTACAGGACATGGAGCCCTCATGAGGGAGCAAGGAACCAGAGAAAGAGCAGAACATGGCTTTTATCTTAGGGAGATCGAAGGGAGACGACTGTGGAAAAGTAACTAGATGATGCTAGAGCTGCAGGACAGCAAGAATTGCTTTGAAAAGGTCTGTTTGCAGAGACCTTCCTGGGCTGCCACCTCCTGGGAGAACCTCCCTCCCGTCACAGGGAAGCCTGCGCCTCTCACGTGGGAGCCCCTCTCCCGCCTTCAGGAAGAAAGCAGAGATCCCGTGTTTCTGGCATCTGCTCTTCCCAGTGCCATCAGCTCCAGGCCAAAGCGGCACATTTCGGGGAGCAGGTCCTGGTCCCTCAGAACCTGCCCATGGACTGTCGTGAGAGTAAGGAAATATTTGGCAGACATCTAGAACAGCGGCTGGCACCCGGGAGCTGCTGCGTGCTATGAAATAAAGGATGAGGTACAGATCTGGACCAGCCCAGGAGCCAGGAGGGCAGCCCCGAAGAGCTGTGACAGCTGAGCCCGAGATTCTACCTGGCTAAGGTGGGAGCAGCTTGTGTCCAGGCACTGAGAGAAGCCAGAGCCACAGAGGCTGCTGAGCCGCAGGGGCCAGAGCAGCGAGGGAGGGGAGAGCAGATCTGGCTGCAGGTGTGAGGAGAGGCTGGGTCAGGCACAGGTCAGAGCACAGCACTGTGCTCCGAGTACCGGGAAGCTCCTGGAGTTTCTCAGGGCTGCTTCTGTGCAGACATTGTGCTGAACCAAAGGAGCCGGACACTACTCGCCAGTGCTGTCCAGAGAGACAGAGGCTGCAGAGTCCACACTGGCACCTTTGCTGTCACTGGGACAAAGCACCTGACACCCACAACTTGCAGAAGGAGAGGGTTATTTGCCTCACGGTTCCAAAGGGCTCCACCCATTGCTAACTGGCTTCAGGCAGGCAGGCCTGGTGGAAGGGCCTGGGGAGGAGAGGTGCTTGGCTCTGGGCAGCCCAGAGCAGGGAGCCGCTGGAGCCGGGGAGGAGGTGCAGCCTCCAGGTCCCTCCCTTGCCCATCCCACCTCCCCAGTGCGTTAATCTGTTAATCCACGACCCACTCACCTGCCAGAAGCCCCACAGCTGAGCCTGTGAGACCTAGGACACAGTTTAGACCTCCACCCTAATGGGAGCCTCGCTGGGGGATGGCTCGCCTCCTGGTGCAGCTGAGGAGACCCAGAAAGCCAGTGGCCTGTACACCTGAGGTCGGCGTAGTTTATGCACTCTCCTGCCTCGCGTCACTTATAAAAGGAGAGTATGGGGGTTCGAGAATGGCTGTCAGGCCCCAGCTGCGAGCAGCACACCTGGTGTAGCACTCCTGGAGTGTGGCTGGGAGGGTGACGGGGGAGTGGAAGATAATGGGTGGACTTCAGGTGACCTTCAGGAGGAAATTCACAGGCTTGCTGGCGACCTGTGTGGGAAGGAGCATGGCCGGGGGGTGTGGGCGCCTGCAGACACATCCCATCCCCGGGGCATGGGGCTGGGTCTGGGCTCTGCTGGGTGCAGCCCCGAGTGCTGCCCAGGGGCTCAGTGAGGTGCAGAGATGGGCGTGGCTGGCACTGCTCAGCCAGGGACTCCTTCGTTCCAGGCACACTGGGCTTGGCCCCCTGGGGCCTTGTGCTCCTCACTCCTCTAGGCCTTGCCGTGCCCGTCAGTACCGTGGAGAGGTTGGGCCGGAATACACTGGAGATGGGAACAGCTTTAGACAGCATGTAATGTGACACTGCGCTCTCACCTTGTGGGCGTGTTCACTCCCTGAGCAGTCTCACAGTTACAGTCAAGCAAGCCAGTGTAGTGCAGACCAGGATGCACTGCGAGTCCTTAGAGGAGATTTGCAAGGGCTGCGGGCTGCCCTGAGTCGCTGAGAGGACACTGGGCGGAGGACCACTGACTCCTCACCACCAGGGGGAGAAGGGAAGACCCCGCGCTTCGGCCAGGTGTCTCTACTCGTGTCCGCCTGCCAGCCTCCTCCTGCCCTGCTGCGAGGGTCCTCACTCGGAAGCTCCATGGTGGGGCCGGCGCTCCGCCCCTGCCCTCCGCCCCTGCCCTCCCGCCTGGCCAGCCGGACACCTGCCAGCCCCGCCCTCCTCGCACCTGCTTCTGCTCGGCGTGGACAGCGATGCCTGTGGCAAAGCAAGGCCAGGTGTGGCACCTCTCTCCTTCCTGGGGCTCGAGCCGCCTCCTTTCCCGGGACCAGGCTCAGCACACCAGCGCTGCCCCACAGCGGGAGGGCTTCCAGCACTGGCCTCTGCACTCCCCTCCCGGGGGTCTCCCAGCCAGGAGTGGCAGAGCCATCTTCTTGCCCCAAGACTGTTTCCGCGGTCCTCAGCCCACTTCCCCAAACTGAGAACATAAGGAACTGATTTCCTTCTTTTCACAAAACCTCCTTTCTACGTCTTTCATTAACCATGTTTCAAGTTAAAGACAGAATCTTTGAGCAGCGAGTTAAGTGAAAGAGAATGTGTCCCCTGGAGGCCACTGCTCACCTCTGCTCCTGCTGCTGCAGAGCGGCCGCTTCCTGTGAAGCAGACTCGGGCTCCTCTGCCGTCCGCGCACATGCTCCTGACGTCCATGCCAGCAACCGGGTCCTGCGACCAACGCGGTTCTGAGCCTGTGCCTGGAGTGAGTGCCAGGTGCCCGAGTTCCAGGCTGGGTCCCCCGCAACTGCCCACCTTCTGTCACTACTGTGGGTCTGGAGCTCCCTACCGGCTGCTGACTGGCAGCTGTGACCCTCCCTGGGCCTGGCCACTTGCTGAGGCAGCCCAGAACCTACGGACCGGCTCATCCCAGAGATGGTTTTGGAGGGGATCCAGGGAGCAGCCAGGAGAAGGCAGGCATTGGACCCGGCAGGCGGCCCCTGCAGGAAGCTCCTTGTACGCACACCCCTTCCCCGCCCCTCAGAGCCTGGCAGCTCCCAGAAGCCTGAGGCCGAGGCCATTGTGAGCTCCGGAATGTGTGTGCCCAGGGGTGACTCCTAACCAGCCGCTCCAGCCCATGCACCCCATCTAAGGCCAACCCTGAGCTCTGCCTCCCAGCACCTGCTCCCCAGGATCACCCCTCTTCCACCCTCACCTTCTGCTGGAGAGCAGTTCCGGAGCCTCCCTCCTGCTCCACACACCTGCCTTCTGGGAGCACCGCTTGCCTTCCGCCTCCGGGCCCCTTCCTGCCCTCCCTGATCTGCACCCCCGCGCCCAGCCCCTCCAGTCCCGTCCGCCTCTGCAGTGTACCTTCCGTGCTCCACACCCCGGTGAGCCTTGCCTCCTGCCCTGGCTGCTCTACCTCCTCGGCTCACCTGTGCCCCTGTCCCCCACTGTCTGCTCTCGGCCCTTCCTGTTCCCGGCTTCTCCTTCAAGCTGGTGGCAGCCCAGTCGTGGGACCCCCTCCCAGGCCTCCTGCCCTCCAGCCCCCGGCCCTTTGTTAAGATTTCCACCTGGTGGCCTCTGCCTTGATTCCCCCGAGAAGTAAGTTTTGCTTCCCAAGCTAGAGTAGGAGCTCTTGTGAAGCAGGCTGCACAGACTCCTAGGTCTCCCGAACACAGTACCCCATGGGGACCCCAGGAATCGTGCACTCAGCAGCCATCGGCAAGCACACACCACCTGTCAGGCGCCGCTCTGGGTGCGGGGTGCAGATCATTCACAAAGCAAGGGCTCTGCCTTTGGGTTCTGGCAGGAGAAACAAAACCAATAATGCGGAAACTGACCTGTTCCATTAAAAGGGGGGAAACTGACGGCGCAAGGACCGGGCTGGAGAGGCGGGGTCGCAGGCCGGGCGGGGCGGCGGGGCGGGGCCTCAGGAGGTGACCGCTGAGTCGGTGGGGAGGGGTCGTCGGTGGGGTCACAGCAGCAGGGCGAGAGGTCTGCGCACCCTGGCGGCCCCATGGCCGGCGTTCTGGGAGCTCTAGGCGCAGGGGTGGGAGCAGGGTGAGCAGACAGCTCCAGAGGTGACTGCGCTGCCGCCTCTGAGGGCTCTGGGTCTGCGCCTGGGCTCTGGACCGTGATGGTGAGGGCTGCGGGCGGAGCGGGCTGGACATGGGGTGTCACAGACGGGCCTGCGAAGAGGTCTGCGTGCAGTAAAATGTGGGCTTCGTCCGCACACGGGCTCTGTCGGCCCTGAGGTGGGGCGGGGCAGCAGGGGATGAGTGGGAGGAGGGAAGGAGCGAGGGCGGATCCCAGGGGCCCAGCACGGAGGCCGCAGAGGGGGACAGCACCCGGCAGGAGAAGCAGCTGGTGACGCAGACCGAGCACCAGAGGCCCGTGAATGGGGCGCAGGACTCAGGAAGGGTCGAGGCATCTGCAGCGTGAGGTCGTCCGGCCCCCGTGGGATGATCCTGAGCGCCAGCAAAGACCTGCACGCTCTGGAGTGAGGGCTGGCCGCTGGCCGTGGTCCTCTCCGGCAGACGTGGGCCAGGACCTGACAGAGGCAGCAAAGAGGAGGAAGGGTGTGGAGGCGGCAGACGTGAGAGCTGCTCTTTACTCCTGAGAAGACGCTGAGCAAGAATTTGGCCCTGGGGAGAAAGCGGGGGGAGAGCCTGGGCCAGGGCCCAAGCCCGGAGGGATGCAGCTCCGCCCCGGGGCGTGGCGGGCTGTAGTGGCCTGCGGTCTGCAGGGGGTGCACAGGTGCTGGGCCTCCCGGAGCTCCGGGAACTGTCCTTCTGTGGCCTCACTGCCCCAAGGTGGCAGGGACAGGAAGCGGGTGGCTGTGTCAGACCCGGAAGTGAGTCAGCCCCAGCTCACCTCACCGAGCACAGGTGAGGGCCCAGGCTGTGGGCGACAAGGGATCCGGTCAGCTTGTGCGTGACACCAGCGTCTCCTCCACGTTGGCACGGACCGTGGGAGAGGCGTAGGGTTTCTTGAAACCTGACCCTCCACCCCACGTCTCCTGCCCGGCCTGTGTGACTCTCCTCTGAGCACAGGAAGCAGGCGACACCACCAGCTTCCGGGTGGACTTGCCTCTCACTCTCTCTCGAGTGCCCACCCCAGCCCGGGCCTGCCTGCTCCCTGCCTTGTTAGATTATCTGTCCTTTCCTGAGGTCTTCTGACCTCAGCCCCTCGCTCCCCCCTCCCTTAGCCTTCCTCCCTGTGGACTCCGAGAGCTCACCGGCTCACGCCAGGGCACCCGCTAACCCCGGCATCTCCCTGCACCGTCAGAGGGAAGGTGGCTGCCTGCCTGGCCCGTCACTGACGTGCACTGAAGTGCCGACAAGGTCAGCTTTTGCCATTGCTGCCAGCTGCCGATCTGCCCTGCCATTCACACCTCGTGGTCCGAGACTGTGGTCCAAGCCCGCCAGGACTGAGGTGCCTTCCTGTCTCCTGCAGCACCCTGAGAAGTGACGGCTTCTGCTCATTCTTTGTTCCAGCTCAGCTGCCATGAAGTCTTCTCCTTGGTTTCCTGCCCTACTTCTGTGGTCTGACCTAGAATGCCCAGGAGGAACAGGCCGTGTCCTCCCATGTCTGCGTCCTCACACGAAGCCTGATAGCCAAGCAAAGGAAGCAATGAGTTAGCCAGTACGAGAGTGAGCAGGACTTTTTCCTGCCAGGACCACTCGGACCTCACTACAGCGCTGCCCATGCTGTGAGCAGAGGCAGGAGGCCAGAAGACCCCTGAGTTCAGATAGGGCCCTGTACACAGGAGCACCCGGAGGCCGGGGACAAAGTGGGAGCAGCGATTGAGGTGACCCTTCCAACTCGGGCGCCCCACGGTGGCCCTGGAGCTCCACCTGGCGCCCACTGCTGGGCTCCTCCCTCCCGCTGCCCGGCTGCTGTCTGGGGGTCAGTGTGGAAGGTCGGCGGTTGGTGATCCCAGGACGGCAGGAATGGACACAGACTGCAGGTTGACGAAGGGAGCCACCTCTGCTGGTGGGGGAACTTCCAGTTATGTTAACCATAAATTTGCCGTCTCGTTATTAGATAAAGAAAAAAACCAAACAATCCCGGAGCCTCCCTCCTGCCTGGACGTGCAGGTTCCCGTCTGCCTTTCCTGCCTGGCCCGAGTCACGCGTCCCTCCAAGCCACCACCCCACACACCGCTGCCCTGGTTCGGAGCCCCTCACCCCACTAGGACACAGGTCCTGGCATGGCCCTCAGCCAGGGCAGCTGCCGAGCCCCAAGAAGTAGACGCCGTTGCGGTGCGGAGGTCCTAGGGAAGTGCCCTCCCAGCAAACCTCCGGAAGAACAAACTCTTTTGAAAGGAAAAAAGGGGATGTCAACAAATGGAAAGGCTGAAAAACCATAATTCTTACTCTTATTTTGTCTCCTAAATTAACATACAGCAGAGCTGACATTTTCACAAGTCTGTGAATGCAGCACATGGATCAGTGTGGCCATCTGGCAGGAGCGGAAGAAGCCAGAGCATGTGCCATCTCCCGGGTCCTGTGGGTGCTTTGGGGAACGGGTGAAGCCCGGATGGGCAGAGTGTGTGGGAGGCATGGTGGGCAGACGTACAGGACCCCAGCACAGGCCAAAGGGCTGAATGACGTTGCCAGTGAAACTGCCCAGGCTGGATTCGGGAATTCCTGCTGCAGAGCAGGGCATGATTACTTGTGCTGATGATCAAACAGCAACAGCGTGACCACGCTAAAAGGCACATCTATACTCTGTGACGCGTCAGGAGGGTCTCACCAACCTCAGACACCCTGAGTCTGATACCCACTGTCCCGGTCAGTTTCTCATTGCTGGGACACAGAATTTGACACCTGCAGCTTCAAGAAGGTGGGGTTTACTCTGCCCATAGGTGACTGGCCGCAAGGCAGGGGGCGTGGAGGAGGCTCTGGCGGAAGAGAGCCGTGCGTAGGGAATCCAGTAGCCTGGAAGCAGAGCGAAGGGAGGGGTGAGAGGGAGGTGCACCCTCCGGGCCACGCCTAACCGCAGGCCAGCACTGAGCCCTACCGTCCAGTCTCCTTCCCAGCATGAGGCTCTGGGGCCTTTTAGATGTGAAGCGCAGCCCCCACCTGTGTTTCCCTGCTGCTAGAGAAAGAACTTCTCGGTGGCCACCAGACATTCTAAGACACATCCATCCATTATTGCTAGTGTGCGAGGTCCATCCAGATCAGAGCATGCAAGACCTCGCTGCGTGGCTGGGTCATGGATTTGTCTCGCTGCCACTGGTGAGAAGCAGAGCTGTGGGAAGGCCAGGACCCGAAGCCCTCTGCTCAAAGCCTGCCACCGCCATCGGCTGGGCCATGTTCATGGAACCTCCCTCGGTCCCACGGCAAGCGTCCCCTTCGAGGACCCCACACTGTCCTGGGGGGTCTCCCTCTCTGCCTCCGAGCCCTACTCACACGTGCCTGTGGAAGCTTGGTGGGTAGGGAGATCCCACAGGTGCGCTCTACAGGGAAGAGCCTGCACTGACTGAAGTCCAGAGTCCTTGGCTGGAGTTAGTGAACCGTCCACCGTGGGGGTTTTGTTTCTTGGCCTCGGGTAAACAGCTGGGATTCCTTGGAGCTGGGAGCATGGGGAATTCTGTTCTGCGTATGTTTGCCAGCGAGACAGTCTCCCCTGACTGGCTTCCGGTGGATAAGTGTGCAGGGTCAGAGCAGAGCCCTGCTGGGCCGATGGCTTTTCTGATGGAGACACAAACATAAGCAGCACTTTCAAAGCAAGCTGCCCTCTTGCATCTTTTCCAAGATGGTCCTCATTCTCTACGAGCAAGGGATGGAATGAGCTCATGGAAGAGGGAGGTTTCCACCTCCCCACAGCTGCCTCCTGTATGGAGACCGTTTGAGTCACTGATAGCAGGAGTCAGAGACCCTGAGCTCCACGCGAAGCTTCCACTGCTCATCTGCCTTGTTTGAAGCACCTCCAGCCAGTCCCTCCAGCACATTCCACTCGCTCCTCCTATCCGGGCTTCTTTGAAACGGACGCCTGGGTTGTGTGTGGTCCCCTTTCCTAGGCCACATGCACTCATTGCCCTCAAGCAATTTCATGGCCCGTGAATGGGGAGGAACCAGTGGCCATGCATGTGACCGGAAACTGCCCACTGCAGGGGCCCTCCCTCCCCAGGAGGCCAGGCATTCTTTGCTCTGGAGATTACTCTTAGAGCCGAGTGCAGGCAGAGTCCATGCTGCATGTCTTTTAGGGTTGTGCTTTTAACTTTGTCTTCTTAATTTTTAATCATTTTTTGCTGAAACTCTTAAGTCAGTGCAGACGGGCTGGTCGTCTCTGGGACCCCTCAGGTGGCAGCAGACCTGACCCCAAGCTGGCGGTGCAGACTCCACCTCCCCCGTCCTACGGTGCCCGCAGGCCTGGCCACTGCGCTGCTTTCTGGGGCGGGAGGGTAAAGTTAGAAATGAAATTACTGTTCAGAGCAGACTGCTGTGAATTGCTGTGACAAGGGGGCCAAGAAGCACAAAGAAAACCCACAGCGAGCTCCCCTCAGAATCTGTCCACATGCGGCCTCCTCCCCCATCGCAGCTGACACACCGGTGAGGCCCAGTGGTACCCTCGGGTGCAGCCAGCACTCTGCCAGCTGCTCTGTAGCCTCCTGTGCTGCTCAGCCGGGTAAAAGTGCCCTGAGGGCCGGCAGGCTGCCGAAGGGGAGGGTGGAGGGCCGCAGTCCTCGGCGGGCCAGGGCCTACAGTGTCACAGTGCGGCCTCCCCAGCTCGCACCGCCCCGGCCCATCTGTCCTTGGGAGTCCTGGGTGTGTCCTGCGGGCACTGGGCTGTCGGGAGCTCGGTCACACTCGGAGCTGCGTGTCCTGTTCCCATGGCAGAAAGCGCTGCTCACCAGGTTTTCCTCAGCAGCGAGCAACACACCCTCGTGTCCTTGCCTGCGCTGCATTCACAGGGCGCATCCCAGGTCGGTTTTGATTTTAGAAACGGAGTCCTGGATTGGGCTTCCAGGAGTTTCCTTTCTTATGCTTGGAAAGCAGTGTGCGTGTCATCTCAACTGATGGGAGTCGGAATGAATTTCTGCAGTGTTGTACCGCCTCTAATTTCAAGTGGAATAAACGAGTTCAAGGAAGAATTTGGATTTGCTGCTTCCGTGTCATAGGCTTTAAAGTGGGGGCCTGTGTGATGTGTGAGTCACCATACTCACCATCGACTTGGAGGAGCGTGGCAGACAGCAGGGCCCGGTGAGCACAGGCAAGGGAAGAATGGTAAAGCCCAGAAAGTACGGCTGAAGTCACATCCTGTGACTGGGTTTAGAGCAACGGGCCTTCCCACTCTTCCTTAGGCCAATCAAGGGTCCACAACCACATCAGAATAAAAGGGATGGTTAGCTTGGAGCGCTGCCTCACCCCCATTCCCAGCACTCTGGGAGGCTGAAGCAGGAGGAAAATCTGAGCCCAGCCCGAGCAACTTTGCAAAATCCTGTCACAAAATAAAAAGTAAAAAAGGGCTGGGGATAAAACTCAGTGCAGAGACATTGGGTTCAATCTTCAGGGCCATAGGGGGAGTGGGGGGCTCACATCCCCGTTTCCCAGATGACTCGCTGTCAGCCACAGGGGCGCAGCCACCTCCCTAGAAACTCCCGGAAACTCTCCAGGCTCCTCCCCCAACCTCCCATCCCTAACGGCGCAGGAGTGGGACTGTGCTGTCCGCAGTCCCTGGGCCCTGGGCTCACTGGGCTCCTCAGATCCTGCCCTGGCCATAGCCAAGGAGCCCAGGTCTCCTAGGCCAGATGGCAGCCCAAGAGCTTCTCGGACATGAGCCCTCCCTCGGCTGCTTCCATGGGATCCGAGACAGTCACTCGACAGCTGACTGTTACTGGGCGTTCTGTTTTACAATTTGTAATAATTCAAAGGCAAACTCATACTGCTCCCTATAAACTTGTTTTCTGGGGAGTTTCATTGGTGGCCACTTTGGGAAGCATCCATTTATGTCATCTGTGTCATTCGTTTCTTGGGTCCTCGCAGTTTATCTGGTCTCTCTCTCCCCAGAGAGGCAGTGAGCCTCACCGTCCGTCAGGCTGCCCTCCCCAAAGCGCCCAGCCTGTCCCCTGCCTCTGTGACTCTCCCTTCTGTGTGCCCAAAGGTCTGCCGGCTCCAGCGCCTCTCGTCCCCCGGGCAGTACCGTGGAACCCTCTTTGCCGATCAGCCCACGATGTTCATCTCTCCGGCCAGCAGCCCCCCCAGGGCCAAGCTGTGTGAGCTGGTCCTCCTGTGTGGGGGCCACATCAGCCCAGGACCCCGACATGCCAGCATCTTCATCGGGCCCTACAGCGGAAGGAGGAGGGCCACCGTCCAGCACCTGTCGGAAAAGTGGGTCCTAGGTAGGAAACAGGCACCGACGGGGGACTGGAGAGGCGCGTGGGGCCCTGGGGTGTGCATCAGATTGCTGCTGGGGCCTGGCGTCAGGATGGGTTTCTAATGGGACAGGTGGTGCCCATATCCACCTCCTCGTGACTGCAAGACCCCTGCCCCTCCCTGTCCACTGCCAGGTTTGCAGGGCTACTCGGCCAGCTCAGGGGGGAAGCCGGGGCTGCTCCAGGGCTCAGCGCCCGTGCCCAGGGCTGTGCGCTGTGGGTTCGGGTGGTGAGGGAACCCCTGACCTGGGGAGCTGCACTCCTGGGTAGGGCCCGTGTGGATGCACCCGAGGCTGGCAGGAGCACAGCCTGGAGGGTGGGGGGCGCCATCCAGGCCCCTCCTCAGTGCCCTTCTCCAGGGTCCTCGGTCTCCCTCCGCCCTCATGCCGGCCCGCCCACGGCCCCGGTGCCCAGGAGGCCCCTCTGTGCACACCGGTCAGCTGGCATCAGAGCCACCGCGTGACCTCGTCTTAGCCCAGCCACAGCCTCACCTCCAGCTGCAGTCCCGGGGCTTGCGGCTTCGGCACAGGCTTGGAGGGACACAGTCGAGCCCTGACAGTGAACCAGCCCAGCTCCAGCGCCTGTGGCCAGAGTCCTCCCCGGGACCTGGGACCTGCAGCTCCCTCCCTCCCTCCCACCTTCGAGCCCCTCCCCTGCTCCCCTCCTCCCACAGCGTTCTTCCTCAGTCTCCCCTCCATGTGCTCCCTGTGCCCCCTGCCTCTGCGTCCCAGCCTCCTGGCCTTGCTCAGCCTGGGCTCATCGGATCCCTTTAGCAGATGAGCGGGCATCACACTGTCTGAGCTCCAGTCGCGAGGACCACAGATGTTTTCTGGATGGCTTCTAGATGATCAGTGCTCATCCCTCATGCATTTTTCAGGTGTGACAATCAACAGCAATTTTTCAGGCCGCGGATTTAGCTCAGTGATTTTGCCGCCTGCTTCGCAAGCGCAAGGACCCGAGTTCGATCCCCGGTACCAAAAACAAGCAGTAATTTTTCACTGTCTGGTAGAGTAACTTCTTTTGCCTGGAAACTAACGTTTTTAGTCAGTGCAAAAGCCAAGAGGCTGCTTACTCCTCTAAATGCCACACACCTCGCCTTCTGACAGCCCGTGATCCTGAACGGAGGCCCTGGTTTTGTTTTCAGAAAGCGCGCATCAGAAGGACAGCTGCAGGCCAGAGCTGTGCTTCCACAGCTGTCCGGGGCGGGGCTGTGCGCTTGATTGAGGGCAGCAGCAGAGCCGGGAGTCGCCGGGCAGAGGCCCTGGAGTCTGGCCTTAGCGTCCAGGTTGGGTGGCTGGGGCGCTGGCCTCGGCGCCTGCATCCGGGCATTGTGTGAAAACGGGCCCTGGCTCTCGGGCAGCCCGAGTGCACGGCCCGCCAGCCTGGACCAGGCCTTTTCCACACGCTGAGCGCCCGCCTTTCCCCTTCCAAGCTGAAACTCAGCCCACCGCCTCCAGCTGTGCACGCAGGACAGAGGGCTTTCTGCGCATGTGCAGTCAGTCCTGCTTGGCCGCAGAGCCCTGGGACAGGCGCCGGCTTCCTTCTCCGCCTGGCTCTGCCCCGCCCCCCACCTCCCAGGCGCAGGCGACAGTGCTCGCGCACGCGTGGAACTGTCACTCCGGACCCGCACAGAGCCAGGCGTCTTTGGGGAACCTTCTTCCCATTATCTTCAATTATAATAAACACTTCTCTGGGGAGTATTTTATTCTCAAAATGTGGTAAGATTAAAACTAGGAATACATCATTGTTTTAAAGTTATTTTATAATGAATTATGAAAGGCTCTACTCAAAATTTAAAAATTAAACTTATTGCAGCTGGAATGTCAGCTGCTCTATGCGGCCAGACCCCTGGGAGTCTTTTTAAAAATATTAGTTTATTACACGTGTGCAGTATGACGTGATCACATTCCTTGTGAGAAGTCGGTGCTGTAAGTAACTCATCTGAATTCCTGTTTGCATCCCTTATCACTCCCCCACGCACCGCGGAAGTCAGCGTGGAGATGCCTCACAGAATCCAAGACCAGAGACTCCCTTTGACCCAGCTGCTCCGCTCTGGGTGTCTTCCCCAAAGAGTCAAAGGTCGTGCTCCAGAGATGAGCTGCAGCCCCTGTCCACTGGCAGATGAGTAGAGGAAGAGAATGTGGCAGTTGCGCACCACGGAGCACTGCTGTGCATAAAGCGGGACAGACTTGCGTCACCTGGAGGAAAGTGGATCCACCTTGGCCGCCGTGTTAAGTGCGATAAATCAGACACTGGTGCCTATGTGTCACATGGATTCTCTGCTATGAGTAACCCGGAGTGAAAGAGCAAAACAAAGGATAGCAGGGAGTGGGGCCATAGGTTTTTCTCAGGGGAGAAGGGGCCCCTGGAGTCTGCAGAGTATTTTGGATAAAATACTTAAACCTCTTACAAGTAATGTGTCGTGCCCCTTGTAGGTGTGTGAGCTGCCGTCCGGGATGAAAACTCCGGGTTTTCTCTGCAGTTGCTCTGTGTTTCTCCTGCTCTTCGTGGTTTTGTCCCTTTGCTGCTGGAGAGAAGGCAGCAGCGCCGAGAAGCCACCCTCCCGGTGCCAGTGCCCAGGGTGGTCTCCGGGGAAGCCCTCTCCCCTGTCCGAATGGCCAAAGCAGCTCCAGCAGCTGGAAGCAGCAGTGCATCACCCTGCGCTCACCCTACTCAGGAGAATCCCTTCCAGCCCCAGGCCTGGGGACCCATGGCGCTCAACCAGCCGGGCCTGCTGAAGGCCATGGCATGTGGCTGGCAGGGACAGCAGCAGTGCAGGAAGTCGTGGAGCCCTGCCACTCCCTCGCGCACAGGGTGTCCTGGACGCTCAGCGCTGGCCAGTCACCAGTGCTCCCTGGAGCCCACTTTCCCGAAACAGTGCTGTGCTCCGGCCAAGAATCTCGTGAATCATCCAACCAGAGGCCACGGGGACTTTCGGGAGAGAAGGCCTGCCCAGGAGGATGCTCACATATGTGTGGGGACAAACAGGAAAACAGGAATGGACTTCCCCACGCCGCCGGGAGCTGGGAGCTCACCTTTACCTGGTGTCCGGAATGCCTGCGGTGTCTGGGCTTCCGCAGCACGGCCTGGAGCACAACTCCCCTCGGGTGCAGGGAGGCGAGCTTCCGGCCTGAAGGAGCCTGGAGGGTGGGGAGGGCCGGGGCCACCGAGGCTCTGCGCTCAGGTGCTGCACTCATTCCTTCTCCTGCTGTCATCCCGCTTTGGTCGTTCTCGCCAGAGTTCCAGCCTCGGGCGCTGCATTCTTGTCTGGGCTCTGTTCAAGAGATAAGGCCTGCCTTTGAGCCCTGGTGGGAACCTAAGGCAGTGTTCTCCACAGGGCTGCCAAAGCAAACGAGCTGAGCCCCGACAGGACAGGATTTCCACGCAGCCCAGAGCCCTGGTGGGAATGTCCCCACCCACGACTTCAGGGCAAAGGTCCCTCACAGCCTGCAGGCCCTCTCGAACTGCCTGGTCATTCTCGGAGTCCCCGATGCCTGACCAGATGCCTGACCAGAAAACCGCATTAACTGTGGCACCTGGGGGAACAAGGCCTCTTGGGAGGCCCACAGCCTTGGGCTCCGAAGTGATGTGGATGAGGAAAGCTTGTTCGAGGTTGTCGCAGTCCACAGTTCCGTTGCACACAAGCAGAGGTGAGGCCGGCCTGCTACCCTGAGAAGGGGCCAGGAGCCTTCCCGGCCACTGCTGGCCTCCTGCTCTCCTGAGCTGTCCTTGCTCCTCACCTGGGATTGGGACCGGCAGACCAGAGCCTCTGAGAAAGTCACTGCACTGCAGATAGCGTGGAGGATGCTTTCTGCTCTGAGCTGTCCTCGAAACAGATGAACTCTACCAAGGCAGAAATGAATGGGAGACTTTGTCATTTCAGTGTCTAATGTTTATAGGCTGAAACAGTATTTTAGTATAAGCTGTGGAAAGCTATGGAAAGAGTAGGCTCAGAAAGGGAGTGTCTAGGCTCAACTTCAGGCTGCATCCATTGGTCACTACCGGTCCCAGACGGTTCTCTTTGAAGTGCCCTAAGCTGTAGGGCCCCTTTGTTAAATTTACACCAGCACAGCCTGAGGATGCAGATTTCTCTGGAGGTGCAAGGTGAGCACCAGTTAAAGGCGGGCAGGCCCTGGAGACGTGAAGGCAAGACTGCTCCTGCACCAGCCAGAGGCGTGTTCCTCAAGCCTCACTTAGGCCAAGAGCCCAAGTCACAGCCCGACAGGCAGCTGTGCATCCCACTCAGAACTGAGGGTCATCCACATGGCAGCACTTTGTACGTGTCCTTAGAAATTCAGGCCTGGCTTGGGGAAGTCACTCTAGCTGCTAGAACCATCTGCATTGCATAGGTGACTTCGCAAGAGCATCTCGCTGTGCAGGCTCTGGCTGGGGGAGAGTGCCCAGGAGTTTACCTGCTGCCCTGTGTCCCGGGGCTCCGAAAGGTTAATGCTCAGAAAAGAAACTTCAAAGCTCAGCCTCCTGATGGGATGCTGTGATAGTTCCAGGCTGCCTTTGCTTGTGGACCTGGTTAATTACTGCTTTGGGCCGACTGTAAACGATTGTCCCAAGGCCTGGCAGTGTGTTGAACTTTGGCTCCTTGGTGCTGTTATTGCACAGTGGGCTGTGCTGTTAATGTTGAACGTTGTAGAAGGTAAGCGGTGGAGCTCGTGCTGTGGGCAGAATTGCGTTCCCCTGGGTCCCTTAGAGTGCGACCAGATGTGGAGACAGGACCTTTGCAGAGGTAGACGAGGTGAAGTGAGGTCCTCAGGGAAGGACCCTCATCTAAGCAGACGCTGTTCTTCAGGTGAGAAGGAGACAGCAAAGGTGGTGTGCGCAGAGGAAGGGCAGGGTGAGGATATGGGGAGGCCACATTGTCCCCCTCAAGCAGGGCCCAAGCTCACACCTAGAGCCTGCTGCTTACAGTGCCCTGCCTGCCAGCTGGGTTCCCGCGGCCCTCCCTGACTACAGCTCCAGTGCAAGCTCCGCATGCCCAGTAGGAAGCTGAGGAGTCAGCTTCTTAGCCAAGGCTACACAGGAAATTACCGAAGACTCCGAATCCCAACTCGCTGGCTTGCTTTCCATTCCATCTTCTTGTGAAAGGCGAGGCTCAGGCTGGGGTGCTGCTCTCTGTGCCTCACTCAATGCTGACTGTGAGCCCGGTCTGCAGTGTGGTCCAGCTGTGCCTGCCGGAGCCGTGTCCTGGAGGCCGGACGGAGGCCGAGGTGCACTCCGGCTCCAGCAGCCTGGACTCCCCAGCTTGCAGGAAGGAAGAGGAGCTCGATGCAACCATCTCATTTCAAACAGTTTTTCTTCCACTTCTATGCTTGAAACAGAATACTTATATCAAGGTGAAGTAACCCTGAAAAGTGCAGGGGGAGGAAACTAAAGGCTGCAAATATTAACACAAGGTGGTGGTGGTTGTTTTTGTTTGCTTGTTTTGTTTTTTGAGGCAGGGTCTTGCTCTGTAGTTCAGGATGGCCTTGGACTCCCTATGTAGCCCAGGCTGGCCTGGAACTTGTGGCGATCCTCCTGCCCCAGCCTCCCAGGTGCTGGGACAACAGGTGTGCACCACCACGCCCGGCTAAATATTAACAAAATTGAGGCAAAGAAATCAAGAGGCTCCGCAATAACACAAGCTGAGAGGGGGTCCCGCACAGTAAAACTACGAGGGGTTCTGCAAAGAAAGGAGGGGAAGTGCGGTACACGCATCCTTGCTAATGCGTTTGAGAACAGTAAGGAGGGTAACTTTTAGGAAACATTGCCAAAAGTGATTCAAAGAATAGAAAATCTAAACAACTGGAGCCATTAAGAAAAAGGGGGCCTACAAACTGTGAGCTAAATAGACCCACACCCTCACGATGCTGGACATGACCCATACTTTCACGGTTGATCTGATGAGTTAAAACAAATAGATCTCGTTATTGTATTTGCAGCTCCCTGATTACTAAGTTGCTGTTGAGTATGGAAATCTTAGGCAGGGGATCTACACTTCATGAATTGCCTACCGTATCGCTTGCCTATTTCTAATGACCTCACATGGCTTCACAGACACCCACACGATAGGCACACTGACCATGTACTGAGTGTTGCAAAACTTCTCTGGGGCTTGTCTTTCATTTTGCAGGTGAAGTCTTCAGTATTGCTGAGGTTTTCATGTTTGCTATTTGTTAGGTAATCAACTGCCTGTCCCTCTGTGGTATGTAAGGTTGGTGCTTTTGCTTAGGAAGGCCTTTCTCACCCCTAGACTTTAAAATTGTCTCCTATGTGTCTTGTATCCTGCTATTGATGTTTAGAGCTCTAACCTACTGCAGTTTATTTATCGTATGAGATGTGACAGAGGAGCATGTCATTAGCTGAACAACTCCTCTCTGTGCTCTGAACCCTGTTGGGATTCCCGTATGTGTGCGGGCGTGAGTCTAGCCGTCTCCTCTGTCCGTCCGTCAGTCCGTCCGTCCACCCGTCCACCCGGGCGTCTGTCTGCCTGTTCTGTGCTGATCACATCCAGCTGTGAGACTGTAGCCATGTGACAGTGCAGTGCAGAGTCTGGACTGTCAAGTTCTGTCATTATTCCTCCTTTTCAAAACAGCACTCCTGGGTGTTTTCTCTTTCATATAAATTTTAGAATAAATGTGTCCTTTTTTTTTAAGTTTGAAATTTTTGGATTACATCGAATTTTCAGACTCAGTAGGAAAGAGGACCATTTTTTCTACATTTTTTTTTACTTTCAAAAATAGCATCCAGTCAGAAATCTAAGAATGAACCCACAGAGTTTTACAGCCTAGAAGACTGGAGACTGAATTACTTTATAAGCTGGGCGTAGGAAATGGCTCTCTACCTCTGGCCCAAACCTAGGTGCAATAAAACAAAGTATCCATGTAATTTGAGTATATAGAAAAGAGAAAAACTTCTTCTGACAGAAGTTTGCACAAGAAAAGGCAAATGACAGTCTGAAAGAAAACATAGCATGTACCACAAATAAGGGACTAATATTAAAATATAAATCATAATACTTGCCTCGCTGTCATGGAGAGACGCCAGTGGCATGCTGGTTCTAACAGTAACTGTTAGAGTGATACTATCTGTAACATTACCAGTTAGGAGGTAATGGTGTCCATATACATGTACACGTGTATTTTACACGTGTTACAGCCGCTTCCTAAAATCTATCTGAGGCTCCCTGACCAGCTCAGACCCCGTGTAGGACTGGATTTGTACTAGGAAGGAAACAGTTCAATTCTGAAATCATTTCTTAAGCCATTTTCCACCTTTTCTCTGCGTTCATAGGATAAAGCCTTTTCCTTTGCTCATCAGTGTGACCTCGTTAGGTCCTTCCAGGGTCACTGCCTCATTTCTCGGTTGTGCAGTTGGGCAGCAGCATAATCAGTGAGTGCTCAGTCAGGCCGGCCGGGTTTGGCATGTGCTGCATTTTCTGGCAGGCCTAGACCTCAGTGGGCAGCGCCCCCCACCCAGGAGAGGGCTGGGGCCAAGGGTCACTGGTGACCCGCCTAAGACAGTCGAGCTGCCAACCTGCCAACCGATGGGATTCAGAGCTCAGCCCGGCCTCTTCACCTGGACCACAACAAGCCAAATCCGGGAAGGGGCCCTGTGTGGTCAACAGAGTCCCAGCTGGCAGCGAGCACCGCACAGCCTCGGTCTGCAGCAGGTGCAAGCCTGTGTTAATGATCACACGCTCCCTTGTACCAGGCAGCACTTGCAGTGGCTCAGATAGGATCGGGTCTCGTGGTAGGTGAGACAGCCCAGCTGGCAGAAGGCTCTGCCGTGATAAAATGTCCCGCATCTGTGACCGGACAGGACATGCGTCTGTGAGTGCTGGAACTCCGGCCGGGGTGGCAGGGGACTGGCGACTTGATTTTACCCTGAAAAGCTGTGTGTGCAAAGACACACAGGCCTCCTCACAGCAAAGCACGTTTAGGGTGCGGCTCTGTGCACCCGGGAACAGGTTGTCACTCCATGGCGGGCTGCACCAGCTGTCATAATGCCACCTGCCTTTCTCTGTCCCCAGATTCCGTCATGCAGCACAGGGTCTGTGCCTTTGAAAGCTACCTGCTTCGAGGGAGCGCCGTGGCCAGCACTCCGGGCTCGGAGCCTGGAAAGGAGGCACTGGCCCAGGATGACTGCGGCCACAGCTCGGCCTGAGCAGCTGCAGCCTCCGAACCCTCTGCGCACAGACTCTGGACGTCAGGCTCTTTCCCCGGGATGCTGCTGTCTGAACCTCAGTCCTGATCACAGGCCTTTGTCATTTGTCATTACACACTCTATTCCCAAATAAAGAGTGGAGATTTCCGTGTTTTATCACTGAGATCAGTCTAAGCCCCTAGGCTTCCTGGCTCAGATTAGAATTTCTAGCAATACATGGTGTCCCAGGTCACACTTGGCACCTGAGGAAGGCAGGTGTGGGATCCAGGGTCAAAGTCTTGGGCCAGCTCAGTGGCCTGCAAGGGGCGGGGCCTGTGCTCCGGGAGCTCGGCCTCTGGGGTGAAACCACACAGCTCCGGATAGCGTCGCCTCCCAGCAGGATGGACTGAGACCTCCGAGCAGGTCTGTCCCCTTTCCGGGTTCCTCTCAGCTGCTTCCCACCATAAGCGATGTGTGTCCCTGATGGTCCCTGGATGCTCGTCACCGGGCAACAGCTGAACCCGGAGCCCTGCAGCCCCTCACGGCATCAGATAGCATCAGGCCTGGCTGCATGTGGCACCTACCACACGAGCGACCTCTCGAGGCTGACGCACGCTGTGCTCACTCGAGCTGGGGACACCGCCCCAGCCTCCTCCTCCGGGCTGCGTCCCCAGCATCAGTGCTGCTTTCCGATGCTGGCCAGGATCCCCTCCCTAAGAGCGGACATCCCCAGAGACAGGCTCCGGCGGCAGCACTCTGGCCACGTCACACAGGCGCCCTCCTGCAGCCTCCCAGAGCCCCATGCATCCCCTCCCACAGGCCTGCGAGCTGAAACCAGAACTCGGCTCAGAGCTCTCAGAACTCTGTTTTGTTTGTTTTTAATTTTGAAAGATACTAGGCTCCCTCTCTCCACATCTATTCAAGATAAATTAGAGATTCTAGCCAGAGAAGAAGCCAAGGGAAATTAAAGGCAGACAGACTGGAAGTAAAACTCATTATTCACAGACTACATATTATATTAAAAAACTGTAAGGAATCAAAGAAAAAAACCACTAGAACTCACAAATTTAGCAAGATTACAGTGTATAAACGCAATATACAAAACTAACCGGGTAATTCTATGCATTATCAATAAGCAGTTTGAAATGAAGTTGAGAACACAATTCCTTTTATAGTAGCAATTAAAAGGAATAATTGGCAAAAGAAATGTTAGGCCTATAAACTGAAAACTATAAAATTCTGCTGATAGAAACTGAAGAGCTAAATAACTAGAGAAATGTGTGTACTTCAAGGGTTAGAAGATGTATTAGTTACTTTGCTCTCTTTGCTGAAACAAAATACCCAACACCCAAAGTTAAAGGGGAAGGGGTTTCCTTAGCTCGAAGTTTGTAGAGGTTTCAGTCCATAATCAGCTGGCTCCAAGGCAGGGTGGCACCTGGCAGAGGGGCATCGCAGAGGAGAAACAGTTCACGGAGCCAGAAGGTAGCAAAACAAGAGTCTTTCCACCCCTGTATCTTACTCAGACAACTTAGGGCAGGCAGCAGCAATGCCCTTAATTCTTGTGCCCGTGGGCCTAGCCTGACCTGAGTCAATCACAGGACCTAGGTCCAGCCACCTCCAGAACAGCCTATGACCACAGGAGGGTTAGGGGACATCTAGACAGAAGGCATTACACATTCAAGAGCCCATAAAAGCAGAAACTCAAGTGGCTTTTTGTAGAATTTGGAAAGCTGATGCTAAAATTTATGTGAAAATGCAAGGAGCCTCTTGTAAACAAAACATTTTTAAAAGAAACAAAGTTAGAAATTTGACAAAACCAGCTCAAACTACAACAAGCAGAAGTGTGATAAAAATGAACGTGTGGATCAGGAAACCCAGAAGGAATGCAGATGTAAATCCTCCTGTTTGGGGTCTGATTTCCAGCAAAGGTGGCAAGGCAGTCGGTGTTATAGAATATCCTTTTCAACAACTAGTTCTGGAGAAAGAAAATAATGAAAATTTCAAACACACTTAGCTAGCAGAGAAGGTGCACACCTGTCATCCCAGCTATTCAGGAGGCTGAGTCAGGAAAGTCACTGGTTTGACACTGTCTCAGAAAGAAAGAAAACAGGCCCTTAGGTCCTTATCTCACTCCATACATACAAATGTACTCAACCAGACTGAGAACCTGACTCCGTATTTCTCACCAGGCTCACTCCTTTTGGACAGGGGATGATGACGTGAGCCGTGTACTGCGGTGAGTTTATCCACATCCCTGTCAGATGACAAGAGCACACCTTGCCCAGAATGTCCCAGCTGAGAGTAGTGAGAGCTCAAGTGACAGCACCTAGGAGACAGCATGGCAGGGCATCGGCACTGGGCTCGATTCACAAACACAGAAATTGGACTTCATCAGCATTTGGACATTTTCACCCTTCCACATAAACCACCACAAGATGAGAAGATAAGCATAGGCTAGGAGAAGATGCTCTCAAGTCATCTGTCTGATAAAGAGCTTCTATCCAGATTGCGCTGAGATCGCCGTGCTCACTGATAAGATAAGCAAGGGCAAAGGCTTCTCACAATTAGATACCTAAATGGCTGACAGCATGTGGAAAGATGCTTGACATCATTAGGCATTGGGGAAATGCAAATTAAAAGCACACTGAACTCTGGGAGGCTGAGACAGGAGGATCACAAGTTCCAGCCTAGCCTGGGCAACTTATTAGCTTAACGAGACCCTGTCTTAAAATTTAAAATTTCTAAAGGGCTGGACATGTCGCTCAATGAGAAGGCCCTGGGTTCAATTCCTAGTACAGAGAGAAAGCACCGTGAGCAAGACACCTGTATTCCTGCAAGGATGAGCAGGGTCTAAAGAAACTGGAACTTTCATGCATCGCTGGGCCGCCTAGAAAATGCTATAATCACTTTGAAAAGCCATATGACAGTTTCTTTAAAAATTAAACACTTTTCCATATGACCAGCAACTTCATTCCTAGGTGTGACCCCAAGAAACAAAAATGCATGTCCACACTGCAGCTTGGATGCAGGTGTGCGTGGCAGCATTACTGTAGCAGCCCCAGTTAAACAGCCCATCAGCTGCTAAGTGGAATCAAGATGTGGTGCAGCCAAACCACTGAAGGCTGCTCAGGAACCAGGGAGGACTGTGGATGCCGGCAACTCATGGGTGATTCTCGAATACAGTGCAGGACACAGATGTGATGGTGCCCACCAGCTGAGGCAGAAGGACCAGAGTTCAAGCCCAGCCTGGGCAACCTGTCCCCCAAAAAGGGGCTGGAGACCTAGCTCCGTGCAAAGGCTCTGGGTTCCCTCCCCAGTGTGGGGCAGGGGAAAGGGGTGATGGGATAAGAGAGAGAAGCCACAGCTAAAGGACCACGCGTCCTATGATTCCACTTCGTTAAGATGTCTATGGTCTGCAAAGCTACAGAGGCAGAAAATAGGTCACTGGTTTCCTGCAGCTAAGGGCAGGAAGCAGATATTTGGAGGTGATGGGAACATTCTAAGACTGGATTGGGTCCGGTAACACAGCTGTATGCCTACTGAGCAGCACACTTCACTGAGCAGACTGTGGTATGAGAAGTGCACATCAACAAAGCTGCAGGCACAGCTGGCTCTGGGGCAGCATCGAAGCTGCACCTCTCGGGACTCCTTACCATAGACCTTCCTCTTAGGCAGCTCTGGGCAACTTGCTGACATCCTCCCGCCTCCAGCTGTGAGCTCCTTTCAGCCTGAGCTGGTGTGTCGCTCTGTGCTGGAGCATTTGCCCAGCACTCACGAGGGCTCCATCCCCAGCTCCACAGAAAAATTTTAAATCTAAAGACTGCCCTCGCCTTTCAAACCAATGCCACATTCTTCCTAAGCAGCCTCAACTAAGGACGAGGCACGGCAGGGCCAGGGAGCCTGGGTGATTCTGCCCGACCCCAGGCTCCACGGGCTGGTCCGGGCTCCAGAGCTCCCACCGAGTCGCCTGGGACCTTGTTCCATCTGCACTGTGGGCCAAGCTGTCCGGTCCATGAGGTGTGATCAAAAAGCACGGTGGGTATTTAAATAAAAAGTGTTACAGTAACAGATTCCTCTCAAAATCCTGCCCCTTGCTTCAGACACTCACACCACTCCCCGAAACAGTTCTGGAAGCCCTTTCTCATGAGAGTCTTTTCTAGACTGCCTCCAGGTCTTGAATCAGTTTTTGGCAATTTCTGTCAAAAATAAATTGTGGTGCCTCCTCATCCCGCTTATTCACGGGTTCTCACAGCATCTACCTTGTGGCTCTTCCCCAAAGTCAAAATGCTCCTGGGCGTTGTGCGTGGATTCAGGACATTGAGGCAGCCGGGCCAGTGCAACGGAAGACACCCTTGAAAGGCGACTTCTGGGCCTGCTTCAGGAAGTGCCCCCGGCCGTGGGGGAGTGTGCTCGGAGTAAGGGGAGGATTTTAAGGGGCCGAGGGCAGCGAGTGTTTTGCCGTCATGCAACGTTCATTCTGTCTTTGGTCACACCACATACGAGGTGTGCTGAAGCCTTCCTCCCCTGATCCTGACCCCAGCTCCTATGTTTCTCAGGTGACCGCTTGGCAGCATCAGTGCAGCCACCCAGAGGGCCCATGCGACAGGTGAGGGTCAGCAGCGGCCCGGGGGCCCCAGCCGCACACCCCTCCAGGACGGGAACATTCAGTTGACCACGATCCTCAGGTCAGGTTTGCCTCTAACCCACTTACAAGCTCCTGGTTTCCAGGTGCGTGGTTTGGGGAGCAGGGGTGAAGGACTGGGGCGTGCGTTGTGATGGGAGGGTCGCACCCCGTCACCCACACAGGTGCGTGGAAGAGCTGGGGACCAGGTGCTGTCCTGCTCTAGCGGCCTTGGGCTGCTGCCCCGCGCAACACCCTGTCGGAGGCGAGGTCCCGTGAGGGAGGAGGTGGAGAGGGAGAGGCGGCTGGGCTGCGCCTCCGGAGAGGACTGGCGAGGCTCTCTCGGCCGTGTCCTCCTTCCCAGGCGCAGGTCCCGCCTTGTGGCGCCATCTGCAGGGCGTCCTTCCAGAGCCCAGCGGTGCCGGCCGGGCCACGCCTGTGCCCTCTGGATCTGGGGCAGGGGCCTCTTCTTTGCAAAGGACCAGGCCTGGTGTTTGCTGCTGTGAGGACTGTGCACTAACACGTGGTGCAGCCGTGGAAACATCTACCGGGCTAGCACACAA